CCCTCGCCCCTGCTTCCTCCTGCGGCTGCGGCCGCGCCTGGGGACCTTCTGAGTCTCTCGCTCAGCGGCCCCAAGCCCCACGTATCTCAAACAGCTTTTTCAAAAGGCACCCTGATTAGAAGAAATCGCTCCGGAGAACCATTTTCTGAACTGAATTTTAATCATTTGTATGTCCCTCATGTCTCCCAGCAATAATAAAAACATAAATGCCATAGACTGACTATGTTTCCTGACAGGCAAATCACGGCCCTGGAGGGAAGTTTTGTGCGTTGCGGTTTATGAAGCGGCGCGATCGAGCGGTGCCGGCACTTGGGGACCCCGAGTCCTGCCGGGGACCCCGACGACCCCGCTGTTTGGAGGAGCATCGCGCGTTCGGTCCCTCAATTCCCTTCTTGGCTCGCCGCCCGCCGGGTTTAGGAGCAGGAGGAAAACCGAGGCTGTGACGTGAGAATGAGCTGAGGTGCGGGAAGGCCTAGCTACTCCGGGGCAAGGCGGCCGGAAGCACCGGCGAGGGGCCGGGTGGGCCCCAGGTTGCAGAAGAGGTCGGACACGGCGCAGCCGGGCTTCTCAGAAGCGGGAGGCAACGGACGCAAATAAATCGGCTTTGCCTGAAGAATCGTGACTCTAGGATTGTGTTGTCCGAGAAGCACTGTCTCCTAAGTTTTGTTTTGTTTTGTTTTGTTTTACTGTGGCTTTATATTAAGTTATTCTCTAGAAGGATGACGTGTTCTTTTAAAAACCAACTACTCATTACGATAAATAATTGGGAAAATGGCCACCCCGCTCTGTAAGTTTGGGGCCTACCCATAAGCTCATCGGATAAGAGGATGAGAAGTCAAATGGCCTCTTTCTGTCCCCTGTGTCTCCATGGTCATCTGAGTGGGAGAAAACGATTCTGACTTCTTTGCAGCGGGCGGACTGCTTTGCGATCTGTTGTTCATTGGAAGAGAACAGAAGGTATGAACAGGTACCTTCAGCAGGGAAACAGAGGTGAATAGAATAGCTGTTTTGAAAGCCTACTCGGTTTTCAAAATGTATGCATCAGACTGCACCAAAGGATATTTTTGTTATTTTGCCACGTTCTTTAAAGGGCAAAGAGCTTTTAAACATTTTTTAAAAATGTTTAATAGTAAGACCAAGAAAACATGCCACGTCAAAACTTGCAGTGGTTAGCCAAACCATAAGGAATAGCAGTTTTCTTCAAAAAAAGTCCAGCCTATTCTGCAGAAAATATGGTTATCATTAAATGCTACTTTTTATTTTCCTCCAATCGTCTATCTGGTTCAAGTAATGAATTTTAAATTTTTGTTTGCTAAGTTTATTGCACGTGTGCCAAACTTAGACATCTGCAATTCTTAGTATATGCTCTGCTAAGAAAAACAAAGTGTCCTTTTAATTAGGTAAGATTTCAGACCCACAAACAAAACAATGACGTGATTTTTTCCTTTGTCGCCCAGGAATGACATGTGCCCGGATCAGTAGCGCTCGGCGGCTGGCACGCTGGAACTGCGGTTCGGCCGAGGGCTGCCTGCAAATTGCATGCCTTTACTCCTTTCTCTACTCTTTCCAGTTTCCTGCCAGCTCTTGGGTGCACCCGATGTTAAGCACAACTGACAGGCGCCGCACTCTGTCCTGCGAGTTCCAGCCTCCTGAACCTTTGCTCCTGCCCCGAAGGACCTCCCCTTTCCTCCCCATGCTGCTGGGAACGCCGATGGCGGGACACAGCAGAGGACTGCCGCGGCTGGCACAACGCACTAGCTGCATCCAGCAGCTGAGACCAGCCAACAGGAAAAGAAGTGCTTGCCGGGAGAGGTGGCGTCTGAGCTGAGAGTTGAAAGGCGGCTGGAAGTTGGCTGGCTGTACAAGGGGCGTCGGTGCTGGAGGGTGTGTGTATTGATGGGTGTGGTGTGAGTGTCAGGGTTACGCAGAGAGCAGCCTGAGCCAGCGTGTCGCCGAAGCGCACGTGGAAGTGTGAAGGAGAGAGTCCGACCGCACTGGCTGGGTGCTCTGGGCGTCCATCGCAGTTCGGGGAAGCGGTTCCTGATGAACGAAGTGGAAGAACATGTGCGGAGGTCGCGGCTGGCGTGAATAGTTGAAGCAAGGCGTTCAGCCTTCACCCCGAAAGCCTAGGGATGACTGGAAGCCATGGTGAGGCATGGCTGTGTTGGGAATTCTGAAAGGTTCCTGATAACAGAGAAGCAAGACCAGGGGCAATGCAGTGAGGAATGTAGTGAGGAAAAAATGTAGTGAGGAATTGAGATGAAAAATTATGGTAGAAAAAAATGAGTATTATAGGAATAGAAACGAATGAAAGATTATGGAAACAAAATGTTGAATCCATAACTACCACAAACATACGAATTTTCAACAAAGGTGTCAAGGCAACTTAATAGACCAAGGATAGTCTTTTTGGAAAATGGTGCTGGAATAACTGACTGTCCACAGTGGGTCAAAAAGAAACCTTGGTTTATACCAGTATCATACACAAAAATTAATTCAAAACGAATCATATGCTTAAATGTAAAATTCAAATCTAATAAAACATCGAAAAGAAAACGTATTAGAACATTTGTTGACCTTTGATGAATAAAGATTTCATGGCTATGACACGAAAAGCAGGGCTCATGAAAGAAACAATCGGATGAATTTGACTTTGGTACCTTGAAAAACACGGCTAAGAGAATGGAATGGTAAGTGGCATCCTGGGAGAAAACCTGTAGAGTTTATATCGCTGAAACATACCTTGAATCCAAGGTACATAAGGAATCTCAAAACTCAATAATAATGTTTTAAAAATCAACCCAATGAAAACTTGGCACACTATTTGAGCAGAAAGTTTACCAAAGAAGATATACAAATGTCATATATAAACATGGAAATCAGGTATCAGGGAAACGCAGCCTACATATCATAATGGGATATCACTACACACCAAAGAGAATAGCTAAAATTAAAAAAATTGACCATGTCAAGTGTTGGCGAGAAGAACTAGAACTCATGTGCTTCTGTTGGGAATGCCAAATAGAACTCCTTCGTAATGTGATTGGAGTTTCCAAAATTCTAATCACACAGCTGCCATTGGGCGCTTACACGTTAATTAACGCAAGGAAAAGCCGATCGATCAAGGCCGCGTGTCAACTGTGATTCTCTTTATAGACCAGCCTAGAACGCGCGGTTATGTCTGGCGACAGAAAGCCGACCGGCGGTGGCTGGGAGACATGTGGTATCAGCAGGAATCTCTGCAGAGCGGTATTTCTCCGGGTCCATGCTGGGGGCCTTGCGCAAGGGGAATTTGTTCTAAAATACAGACATAAGTTGGCTGCGCTCAAACCCACTCTGTGCCACTCCCACAGACGACAGTGAGAGAACGGGCCGCGGGCGGGCGGGGCCCCGTCAGCCCAGCGTGTTGGCCACGCCACGCGGGGCCCGGCGTGTGAGGGGTGCGTGGTGCCTTGACCGCCTGAGTTAGGAACACAGGGGGAGACAAGGAAGAAAGTCACGCGAACGCATCGAGCCTCCTTTCTTTTTCATATGAAACGAGAGATAAAACTCCTCAGAATCTTTAAAGGATTGACTATCGTGTGTCACCTGCCTCTGCAGTTTGTAGAAAGTGAGTAGGATTGATACTTATGTATATGTATTTCAAGTTCTTATTATGTGGTTTTAAATTATTCTTCATTTTCCTGTATTTTCATATTCTTGCATTATGACTTTATTTCTATTTGACTAATTACCCCTCTTTTTTTCTTTAAATGTATTTATACACATCACTTGAAAGACTCTGCACTTTACCAGAAAATGGGCTGGATTTTGCATGTGTACGAGCCCACACTGATTTCTTTTTTCTCCTACAGTTAAAAAAAGCGCACCTGTAAGTTCCAAGTCTTTGAAAGGCCTCAGCCTCTCCGCCTCATTCCTACTATCCTGGATTACGATTTTCAAAGTCCAACCATCATCAAAACCCTGAAAACTAAATGAATAACTATATTTGCCGCTTGTCTATTCGGTCAACTCGCAGGTTTCCAGGGGACCGTGGCCAGCTATGTGTTGGATGGCCGCCGCCTGTGTTGGTAATAGTTTGGTATTTCCTGCCCTTCCCTCGTGTCCCCCTCGGCGGAATGACTTTGTGGTCGTGGCCACCCCCATCAGGTGAGATGAAGTCCCCGGACGGTGGACAGTGGGTACAACATTTCATTTCCTGGCAGGGGCTCTAGATACGGGCCACTGATCGCACCACCGCCCCAGACTGGGAAGCCGGGCTGGGAAGCCAAGGCTCTCGAACGCGCCTCGCCCGAGCAGCGCTATCAGAATTGTGTGTCCCGCTTCCTCACCCCAACTGCTCCTCGGATGAAGGCCCAACACTTTCAGCGACCCCGACAGTCTTCTGGGTCCTTCGGCGGTTCTCCGCCCGAGCCTCTGACCCAGGCCGGGCAAGTGTGGTCCCGGTGGCACCTTCCGCCTGCCCTCCCTCAGTCCCACCGCCTCCCCGCGACTGACTTCCAACGCGCGGCAAGCTTTTAGTGACAGTCCCCACCAGTTTCCCGGCAGTGAGAATCCAGTCTCTTAAATGCTCTTATATCAACCAGTCCAAGCAAGATGGCTCTTGTCGGGGTCTGAGTAGCTCAGTTGGATACCATTGTGGTTTGCAGCCAGTATCCCCCCCCCCCCGCCTTGGCCCTGCGGTGGGCTCCCAAAGGAGTCCAGCCGCGGTGGCGAGCGCCTCCGGGCCCTCCGACGTCTGGCCCGATCTTAGGGACAACGGCTCGCTGCGGTCATGCTTGTGCGGTGCTGCTCAAGGCCGCGGCGCATCGCAGGTTATTGATGATTGGCTTCTACCCTTTGCAGACAGTAACTAATTGATCTTTTGATCTTGACAACTTAGTCCTGGAGTTATAGTAGGTGCTCAGTTGATGTTTAATACTTGCCTTAGTGTACAATGATTCTTTTTGAACACAACCGTTAGAAAAAATCAAGGACCACTACATTTATTCAACTTCCTTTAATGAGTATTTGATATAAAAAGAGGTATAAAGTCCTGTTCCTAGGTTCAATCCACTAATTAACTTAAACCTTGAGTTTTATGAATTACCCAACTTGGAGTAATTCTTTTTATACCCAAAAAACAGTTTGGTTGACATGTTTGAGATAAAAATATGTATTGCAGTAAGCATATGACAAACATTTCAAGAGTACAAAATGAGCTGTAGACATAATTTACCAGTAAACCCACATTGCATTAGAAATGTGCAAAACCTTTTGATGTAAAAGTTGTGTTTGTTTCCTGAGCACCCTTTTCCATAACTTAGCTTCCTGTGGAGAAATGACTGATCACCTGCGCTTTGGTCTACCCACGAAGTTAATTCAAGGCTCCGCCTTCTGAATGGGGACACAGCTCGGCCCTCGGAGGCTGAGCTGTAATGGGGCCGGCGGCGGGATTTTCTCTGGTGGGTCCCAGGGCTGGCCGGGGCCTTGCTGTCACGCGGGAGAAGCCGGACAGCTGTTCCGATTCTCTGGGCTCCCCCCCGCAGGGGGCTCAGCCCACGCTTCCCTCCTGTTCCCCATTCAAACACAAGTGAAGTTTGCTTTGGGCTGTGGTCAGTGGTTGCTTTGGGGGGTGCGGGTTCTTTCCTGAAGTCACGTGGCGCTTGCTCCTAATCTTCCCTAGGGCTGGGGGCAGGGTCGTGTAAACGGTGTCGCCTGGTCCCGACTCACTGAGAACGGTCTTCCCTCGATCGCCTTCTAGACCCTGAGGAGGGAGAAGGGAGAACGTTAGGCTGTAGATGCGAGGCATCTTTAGGGTTTAAAAATATGATATTCGATGCATCGCTTTATCTGCAAAAGACCCTGTTTCTCATTGGAAGAGACTTCAGATCATCCTTTCTTGATAATAGCCTTCATTTATAATGATGAAAGCAAAGCTATCCTTTGTTCAAAGGTATATGAAAATGATCATTTAAAGTGAGCATTTTGGTTCTTTAGAAAATTTAAGTTCCTGATAAATTCTTTATTAGAAAGTCATGACTTAACTTCAAATGCCTGTTTCAGATTAGCTTCAAATCAAGAGATGCCTGTAACACATTTTTGAGACTTGCAACTTCTTTAGACTATAACTATGTAATTATTTTAGAAATTCCAAATACATATTTTATTCTAGGTCCCACAAGGAGAATCTTTGATTTTTGAATGTATCAGAATGTAAGGTAACCTAATTAGAAGCTCAGAAAATGCACATAAACATAGTTATGAAAAATATAGTGTATGGGTGATACGTACACACATATATATAATGTACACATTACATCAAAATTTTGTACACGGTGATACTAGCAATTCCCTCACGTGTACGGCGTCTGTGCTTCCCACTACAGACCCAGCTCCAACAGTAACATTTCACGGCATTCAGCACCTCCTCTGCACGCTTTCCCGCGGCTCTGATATTTAGGGATTTGTTTTCATATTAACTCGACTTGAGTCTTCCTCAAGGGCTTAAAGCATCTAGCACTTTAGATGAGTAGAATTGCCTTTTTCTCAATATTTAGTATTCTTAGATTTTACTAATAATGCAGAACATGAACATTATCTTCTTCTTGTCACCAAAATACTTTGTTGCCCTATTGGCTAATTTTTCTCTCCAACAGACAACCAAGTCCAATAAAATATATTAAGCGCTCTTCTTAACGTAACAACACGTCTCGCATACGGGCATTACTGTAGTTAATCCACTTACCTTGAGTTCTTCTGTTGGCTTGGACCTTCCTCACAGGTGTGTCTAAAATTAAACAGTTGGAGTTAGCAAAACTTTGAAATGGAGGCTAACATCAGACAGGAGACCACAGTTAAGCGGAGAAGCATAAAGCTCTAACTAGACAGCACACGAGTGTGCAGGTTTTCTGGCGCGGGGGTGGACCTCACACCCAGGAGACTCTTGCCCTGCGGCGGACAAACCGGAAGCTTGTTCCACGTGTCACCGTGAACGTTCCCTGTCTGCAAAGCATCCTGCTTCCTGTGGCACCTGGAGCCAGGTCACGCGCCACTTCTGCACAGAGTGAACATCGTACATGATGTTTTCACCCTTTTGGTAAAAAGGCCCGTCTTTAGGAGGGAGGGGCGTTGTCTTATGTAAGGCTTAGCGGCCGTCTCTTCCCCGGGGTACTCGCTCGGTCCTGTTTGCGGTGCTGTCCACCTCTGCCTCTGTGACCATCCCTGTCAGCTCGTCCATGGCTCCGCTCCGGCGCGGGAGGGCGAGGAGACGGCGCCGGCCGCCCCCGAGGACCCTGGGAGCGAGCGATTCAGGAGACGCACGCCAGCAGGCCCCCGGGGTTGCCCGCCCATCCTACAAGGCCACTAAAAAGTTAACTAGTGAAGAATGATAAAAACCTTCATTTTTAAGAATATCTAGTGTCTATAACAAGGCAGTTTGGGGCTGTTAATGTTGCAAAACATTTCCAAATTCCCTTGCTTTTCTTTTAATTCACCAATCAGATCTATCCGGGAGGCTGAAGTTGCATTTTCATCCTGTTGGGCGTTTGAGATCAAAGAGGTTCCTACAGCGGCTTTGTTTTTCTGCTCGCCTTTACTTTTTCTCCAAATTTTGACTTCTTGTTTTTTTATAAATCTATTTTAGACAAGTCAAAATTCTTTTGTTATATATATTTTTTCAAGTCTCTGATATTCCATAAAAGGTGAAGCATGAACCTGTCACCAACAGTAATTTTGACTCTACGATTCCATGTAAAAAAGAGACATTTTGAATTTCTTCTTAAGAATTCTATGTCTCTGTGGCAGATTCCCAACATGTCATTTCTCCCAGGACATACGATGCGTATGATTTAATGCCACGTTCGTGCTATAATAAAACAGAGCTGTGGGAAACCCCCTTAGATTAGATAGCGGGGTGCAGTTCGTGCAAGATAGCAAAGTCTGAATTTCAGAATATGCCCGAACTGATAAATTCTCCTTACCCTCAGATTTACTCGGTAACAAAATATGGCTTATAGAATGTTGCCAAGACAAGACGAATCCAACCTTAAAGAAGCGAGTAGGATCATTTTTCTAGTGGACTTGTTAAATTGGAAATAAATTACCGTACACCTTAAAACAAGCTCGGGGACGTCCTTACGGTACTTTTCAAAGCTGGCACTTACACTTGGACTTTCTTTCACACACTTGACAGCAACCAACTGATGGGCGTCCGGTGAACTGATTTGTTAGTTTATTGCTATTTTGCTATGATGATATTGCCGTAGGGGCTCACAGTGGCAAACCGGCATCTTTAGAGGGAGGCGCAGGGAGGCGCAGGGAAGCGCAGGGAAGCGGAGGGCCGCGGGGGGCTCGCCCTCTGCCAGACTCGGAGGAGAGAGACGCGGACACGCATCCCACAGGCCGTGGCAAGGCCCGCCCCGCTCAGGCTTCATGGAACGCGCCAAGGGCGCCCGCTCAGTTACTTGCAGGATGTTCAATTTTATGTGACTATTACTTTGGGGATGTAAAATAGGGTGGAAAACATCCCTGCATTGATCAGGTTCGTGTTAATCGGCCAAAACGCCGCTGATCGCGGACACGACTGGGAGCTTGCCTGGGCCGGGCCTTATTCCAGTCCCTTTCCGCATGTTAACTCGTTCAGGCGCGGGCCACATTGCTGCCTCCGGCTTTCAGAAGAAGGCACAAGAGGATCGGCGCCCTCAAGGGAGTTTGGGTCGGAGCCCAGGGCGGGAGTCGGATCCACGACCTGACCCGCTGGCCTCTGAGGGGGCCGTGAATCGTTACGAGTTACACAGGTAGATTTGTCAAAACCTCCGTGACTTTCTTCAGTTCCTTTCTTCATGTTTTGATATTCTTCCCTAATTACTTTAGTAGTTTTTGGTAGATGCAGCTCTGCCTAAGAATAGAAAACTTTACGCATTTTGTGAGGACATTTTTTAGTTAAGGGCTCTGAAGCACGTTAGTGACAAATCACTTTGTTCGCACCAAAAGGCCATGATTTAAATCATAAAAAATTAGTCACTTAGTCATGACTTAAACGATGGAGAGGGCGCGCCATTCCCCCAAGTGCACTAGACGCACCGCAGTACGAGCGACTCGGATGGAAATCTCCGAGCTTAGAGGTCAAAACCATCGTCTGCATGTAGATCAAGGATCTGTGCTCTCAAAGGGAAACAGTCCGTCTTGCGTGGTGCGATTTTTATTCACACCAACTCCTTTGTACCTCGGTGTCTCCTGAGATCAAGGCGAGAAAGCACAGGACTCAGGGACGACGCAGGGACTGCGCAGGGGTGGGGGACGGCACTGCCGCGCCCGGCCCGCGCCCAGGGGCCCCAGACGTTCGGAATACACTGCTGGGGAGAAAAGCCGCGGGCGTGTTTGGGTAAAAACCAAAGGCGTGGCCGTGTGGAAGGGATGCTTTACAGATAGACGGGCAGAGAAGCCGTCCACGGGGAACGGAGGGCCGCGCCCTGCGGTGACAGACAGACGTTTAGGAAGCATCTAGGGACCAGAAGTAGAGTATCATAGTCTCAGCTGGAAGCAGGGTCATCCCCTCCTCTTGGCTGAAGCGATCCGTCAGGAGTGAGCTCAGGGTTTATCGGGGGGCTTGCGAACAAGAGGTTTTTAACGGGAAGAGAACACACTTACCTGACGTTCGAGCTTAAATACATGAAAACAGACACAGCTATAGCTACTAACTGACGCATTCTCTAAAAAGCATTGCTGCTCTACGAAGCTGCTTAAAGTGGCAAGGACTCAAAAAAAAAGAATTCAATTTACTCTTCAAGATGTCTTCGCATCTTCCCCCCAGTTCTTACTGTTTTACAGGTTAGTGAGCATTTGGAGGTGGGGGCGCGGACTCTGAGCTAGAGCTTACGGAAGGAAAGCTTGGCTCCGTCTGAGCTCTGGCGGGGCCGCCTACGCCCTGCAGTTCAAAGGAAATCTTGCAGGGTTCAGACACCTCGCTCCCCACCGAGGGGAAATGCAGTCACTGCTGGGGTAAAGGTTATTTATCGTTGTTACTGCCGAGCAGTTTTAACGCTATACAAGGGATTCTCTCTGGGTTAAAATAAGGAATAAAGAAACAACGATTACACATGGTCCCAGGATAATAATGTATATTTTCTTGGATAGAGTGATGCGGTTTTTAAAATTTTGAGTAGAAAAGCCATCTGGACCATATTTTGGATAAATACTAAACTTTGGTTGCGTTTTCTCAATTCATAGTATATTGAAGAAGAATATTTCATTCTTTGTTGTAATTTAAATACTTGTTTCTCTAAACTGGTCATTTAAATAATTCTGTCATTAATACAACAAACTAGATATTCATTTATTCAAATAAAAATTGTCCAAATTATATTGATAACATTTAAGGTTTCTTCAAAATAGTTGCCATTTAGAGTCTGCATAAGATTTTGAATTCTTTTTTTTTCTCTTTTGCTTTTAAAAGTAGGTCCTTTTAATGCCATAGACAGAGAACATTCCAGAGAACATTCCATACTTTAAAGATTAAGATTAATTTCATATGCAAAATATTTACATTTCCAGGGCTAGATTATTGCTCAAACTGTTAGAAGAAACAGGTACACATTCCGAAGAAAAGAAAATTAATAAATGCATTGTTTTTTTTTAGATCTATGAGCTTAAAAATTCCATAAACATGCCTTTTATTATTGTTGAGGGGGCAGTGAATACATTTTTTAAAAACATAAAAATATGTCAATTTGGGTTTGTTTAAATCACTACCAGTTTAAAAGTTGTCCCCTTTCCCATACTGAAAATATCCTTCTAATTACGTGCATCAAAGCAAAAAAATATTCAGTGCCCCCGAAGCTTGACACTCTACTTTTTAAAGACTGTTTAAACCGCTAACCATTTCTCTACGAACACGAGTGAAAGCGCCATCGGACGAACCCATCTGTTAGGGCAGCGCGGGACACCGACTTGGGGGGAAGTCGCGAGTGCTCAGTCTTTGAAAAGTTGGAGAACTCGGTCACCAGACCTGTTAGCGGGTTAGTCGTTTCCCTTTTACTAACCTCCCTGAAGCAGCCTTTTAATTTCTTCATCTTCAAATAAGTGGCCATCACCCCCTTCAATGAATTTGGTGACTTTGGTGACCTCTGAGAGGATACACGTTTACAGCGGAAATTGGTTTATGTAACAAAAAGACAGGAGACGTGACATGAGGGATAGCACACCTGCCCGACGAGGAATCTGGGACCGACACCTGGTTCTTTCTGTGTCGAGTGTGTTTTAAAAAAGCCTCACCCGAGGATGTGTTTATAGAGAGGGAGGGAGGGAGGGAGGGAGGGAGGGAGGGGGAAACATTGAGATGAGAGAGAAACGGTCATCGGTTGCCTCTCGCTTGTGCCCCGAACGGGGACGGAACCCGCACCCTTTTGGGCGCAGGATGATGCTCCAACCAACGAAGACACCTGGCCAGGGCTGGCGCTGGTTTTTGATAAACCAATTATTTTATAAAGCTGGGGAACAGTCCATAACAAATACAGGGTCCAGCAGAACTCATGCCACTGAGTGTGGCTGGCCCGGGTACATGAACGTCTCGTGCAAGATGGACAGCAGTTGGAGCATTTCACCTAAAATGTCACGTGGTGGCTTGAGGGTGATATTGTTACGTTACAGAAGGACACGCTTAGGATTTTGTAATGAAAGATTTTTTTAGGTAATAAAAATGGGGTGTTCTTTGTGCCGGACCCCGGAATATAGCCGATACGGCTGCCGTTTAAGTGTCGTTCTCTATGTCTGCATTTTTTCCTTACGTTGATATGGAACTTAAACAAAGAAGTGACACAGAATAGAAAACGTGTACGAGGCCTCACAGGTTGTTTAGACTTTGGTACAGAGAGCGGAGGGACAGTCATATGTGTATGTTTTTAGAATGCTGACCTTCTTGCAACAATTTCTTCAGAGTTTCTTCTGTTTCCCCACCACCGGCAGAAATCCTAGTATATTTTATCTCAGGACCTAAAGAAGAGACAATTTAAAAAGGTCGAAAACAGAGGGAGGCAAACTTCCTCCGCAAAGAGCCAGGTGGTCCGCATTTTAGGCGGCACGGCGTGTGTTGCAACTATTTGACTTTGTCACATCCTGGGAAAGCGGCCACCAACATGATACAAGTGCGCGGCCACTCTGCACGCCGGTAACACTTCACGGCAGAAGCAGGCGGCAGGAGCCGCAGCTGCTGATCCCTCATTCAGACAAATACGGAGCGGCTGTATTCCGAATGTGTAGGCTAATATGTTGGTGGGGAACTAGAGGCAACGTTTTCCTGAAATGAACTGTTTTACACAAACTTGCATGTGTTTTGATACGTAGATGTGTACGCCTTAAGATTAATAGAAAACCAAAGATGAGGACGGCTTCGATTCTAGGACATAATCATACATTACATAACACGCGTGGGACACACATAGTGAGAACAAATGCTTACAGATTTGTCTATACATTTCCAACGCAGAGAGAACACGTAGATGACATAATTAGAATACTATTCCATCTGCCAGAAGAGAAATGAAGCCATTTGCGTGACCACCCGAGGTTGATCCTGAGAGTCTGGGCACAGCGGGCCCGCGCGCACAGCTAAAGGTTACCTGTCACGATCCGCTCTTCCCGCGTCTCCTCCTCAGTTATTTCCATGGGCACCCCATCGATGATGGTGGTGTACTTTTTAATAATTGGCTCTGAAAGCAGGGGGAGAAAAACGTGTTTAGTTTCTCCGCTACAGTGTCGGAACCGCCACAGTTTCATATTTTAATGAGAAAATGTATTTCTGAAAACAATACCATTTAGAATCTACTTGGAATCATTTCGGGGACGCATCTCAAATACATTCAGATCCGCAGAGGTCTACACACTAGTCCCCGTGTCCCGACTCTCGGGGGGGGCAGCCAAGGCAGCGGGCGAGCTACCTCCCTGGGACACGTGTGTGTCCCAATGGGCGAGGGCGGAGGGCCAGCGAGGACCCCGGGAGGAGCCCCGCCGTGCTGGACGGGAGCCGAGTGACAAGCTGACAGCGGCTGCCTTGCTAGTCTGCTGCAACGGCCGTTCTGTCTTCAAAGTCCCCGACGGCCTTGAGTTGACAGCGCTGTTCCCCTCAGACCCCACGGCCCCCACCGCCTGTGCGGGAGCGGGATGGTCGTCTGGGGCCTGGGGGCTTCGCGGTGCAACGAATCCCCACCAGACCCCGTAGAGGTAAATTCTATTTTACCGGACAGGCCACTGAGAGCCCACGATGGAGAAACGTATCCCCACAATTTGTATGAAACAAAAGCCAAGGGAAAACAAACATGCGTGTGGAATATAATTAAGCCAACGCCACTGGAACGTAACCGCAGGAATCCCCACCAGGCACCAACCAGGAAATCTACGTGACACATCTCCGTGGGTCACTTCCGTCGCCGTTTCACCTTCTTTAATCGGCCTGAATCCAGGTCCCCCTTCAAGGGTCACCTTGGTTATTGTGGGTCCTGGGGCATCGTTGTGGGAGACAAATCATTCTGTTAACGCGGCCCTTGACATTTGCCAGGACGGGGGATTTATTTCCACATTTGATGTTACTCAGACGTGAAAATGGTTTCAGGCTGTATGAATCCAGCTTTCCACGTTTCCCATTTTCTTCAAATTAGGAAGTACTTATGAGAACAAAAAGACTCAGTCTACGGGCGGTCTACTAAAATTACTTTCTTCTTCATTAGCATTGGAGCGGACATGACAATCCATCCATTCGTTCACAGCTGCAAAGTATGGTCACACAGACTATGTGTGGCTATACTTTGTGAGTCGTGCAGTAGGTACAAATTTGAGCTGCTCTACTATTAGCTAGTGTGTATCTTGATTGTCTATTACTCGTTCCTTATTAAAAGTATAATTTAATTTTAATTACTCAGTATCTTACACTCTTTAATTTAACAGGCATAATATTGAACAAATTTCAAAGTCCCAACTTTACGCCTAATTTTAAGATACTGAATTTCAGGTTTTATGGGAAAATGAATTTGAGTACTTATCTTCTATATGCAAATGATGCCCAAAAATCTACTAAGTAATAGACAGTCCTTCAAATGCAAAAGCTAAATGTGTTGCATTTGACTTGCAAAATGATTTTGCTCCCATAGAAAATCATTTTGAATGTTAGAAAGCCGATTATAACATTAGTTCATCACGACTATCTCACAGAGGAGAAGAAAAATAAGGTTCAGTACATTTAACTCACACTGCAACGCCTTTGAACAGCTGAGGGCAACTATGTTTGTGGATCTTGGAGAGATTTGCCCGCTCAGAAACCGTCAATGACCCAGGGTTAAACAGTGGAGAACAATTTAGGATAATGGAAACAAAGACACAGTTCTCTCAAACAGTAAATATTTCAGACTATGCTCTTCGATCCATGGGGCTCAGGGAAACTGCGTGTGAAAACACAAGGCCAGGTTTTTAAGGCGCTGATACTTCAAAAGGAAACTGTGCTCAAAAAGAGTAAGCACAGGAAAGAAGCGCATAAACCATCCCAGTCGACATTTCTTTCAAAGAACCTAAACTGATATGTCAGAAATATTCAGAAATAGTTAAGCTCTAGGAAGGTGAGGTCTTTCATCAAGAAAGTTTATGTTCATATTTGCACCCAGCGTCTGGGAGGTTCGTAACAGGCACGCGAGCTGCTCAGTGAGCGTGTGCTGGACTGGCCAGCAGTTGATTTATTCTTCATTCAAAAATATGGTTAAATATCAGTTTTTAGCATAAGAAACACCTCACAATTGTGCCTTGCGGTCTACTGGGTGAGAAGTCAAGAACCCTCCATAAACCTGCAAAGCTGAAAACCACGAGAAGGGACGGCCAGGGCCACGTGAGACGGGGACAGCGGCAAACAGCCACGGAGACCAGGATGCGTCAAGGCAGCGCACGAAGATGCTGACACGTGGAGCTAAAGAACGTCTGAGGCCTGACTAGGATACGTGAAAGGAAGCGGGTGTCAGGGGTGTCGAAACTGGCTGGCACAGGCAGTCGGGGGGGCGGGGGGAGCGGCGAGGGTCCAGCGGGCTGGTCTGAGATGTCTGGGGAGCGGTTCAACCCGTTACGCGTATACAGTCGGTAAGAATATGTATGTGCTCATATACGTAAGGTCAGGGCTGGAGTGAAGGTTTCTAAGGTTTGACTCACTGCCCCAGCTACTTATTCCCTCTTCTGTGTCTGGTTGTCTGGTTTCAAACTATATCATGCGCGGCGGTCACTTTAAAAGCTTCCGTCAATACGCAGCTCCTGCGCCCTGTCCCGTTGTCGGGTGACAAATGCCCGCACTTTTTGGAAGCGCTTCATGTCACAGCCCCAAAGAGAGCCACGTGGGAGGCGGGACCTAAAGCTACGAAGGCAGGGCTCTCTCTGAAGGGGCCTGGCTGCCGCGGAGGCCCTGGGACCGCCCCGCTGGGGAGCAGCCGGCTGCTGGGACCAGACAGGTCGCGGAAGCCGCGGGGCTTCCTCGGTGCAGGACAAGCAAATGTACTGAACGCGTTAGGGCGGCGCCGTCTCCTCTGCCGCGCCGCCTGCATTCCGTGCTCTCCCGCGACAGAGGCATGCCACCAGTACGGAAGGACTTAGCGTGTTAGTTTCAAAAAGAACGGAGGCACATTCGTAGAAGCCAGCCCGCAACATGGCCTTTCTCCCAGTAAGAGGAACCATGTGTAACACCGGTTTTTACCTTCGGTTTTGATAATAGGCTGAAGACTGCCTTCAATCACTTTAATTTTTGGTTCCACAACTTTGGTTATAATTTTAGTTGCTGCAAGTATAGAAAGTGGAACATAAATGATGTTTACATAAAAAAAAACAACCTGAACAAAATGGTCCCTTTTTTTTTTGGTCTCTGCTGGGACCTGTGGTGTCAGACACAGCACTATGTTGAGGCAGCAGATGCAGGAAGTACTCAGGGCGCACTATCTAGGAGCATCTTCTCATGTCCGGACAGGGAGCTCTGAGGTCCGGGGACTTGGATTTGTTCCAGTGAAATAAGGACCCACTACGTGAGGAATTCTACCTAGAAATCTACCACTGTGAACTGCACCACTAAAGGTCTTTGCCTTCTTTTGTACTTCTTGAAAATATTAGCTGCATTGCAACAGAAAACAAATAAACATGATTAATTTCATGCAATTCATAATACCTCAAATTGCATTCTTGGATTCTTTCTCAGGGAGAAAAAAATTAAAAGAAAAGGAGAAACTATTTGTCATGCATTTTATGACAGTAATCTAGAGAGGAAAATGTGAAAAATAGCTCAGTACACTGAAAAGTACAAATAAATCTCAGCCAGCCAGATAGGGGCTCTAAACAGCAAACATAATATGATCAATGTTTAAGCTACAGTTTGTCTTTTATTTGTAGCCTTATCATCATTAACTGTTTGTTTTAATTTCAAGGTATGTATTTTGAGTGTATGTCATCCGCCCACCTGAGACAGCAGCCGACTATTGGGTTGCCTTTCGCTTGTGCAGATCACATGGAAGCGGGGCCACATCAGCAGAGCTGCTGGCTCCGTGCCACCTCGGAGCCCTCCAAAGAGGGCTCGGGTAGACAGCACTGCGCCAGAGCCCCCCGCGCCGCTGCGACAGGGGACGCGGGGGCCCGGTGTGGGTTCCCGTCTCGCTCGCACCCCAGGCCTCCGAGACATTTCGCTGAACCGACTTCTGAGTTACGGCGGCTCCAGGCCTTTGGGGGCCATGTTTCAGCGACAGCCGGTTTCCCGTCTTGAGCTCTCGAATCACAGAGCTCCGGCCTGCGGGTCCCGCAACGGGCTTCGCAGGGCGACTCCCCACAGGGGAACCTCTGCCCGAGGGCAGCCCCGGGGGCAAGCCCGCTGCCCCTGGCGGGGTGGGTTCACTGTTTTGTCCCCAATGCCTACGTCACGTTAAGGGATTTGAAGTTTCGGGCATTCAGTCGGTTGTTAGTTTTATTTCGACCCTGCTTTCCTGAAGACTTAAATAGTTCTGACAGGTCACGGGCTGAGGATTCAATAGTGATTTCATTTCTCTTTACTGCAAATGTTATATGTCTGGCAATGCTGCCAAAGACCATCCCCCACCCCCGCAAAAAAAAAAACAACTTTAAATGTATGGTATTTGGGGGGACAAGAATAATATGCAGCAAAGGAAATTAAAGACATTTTAGAGACCCGTCAACAAAGAAACATAAAAATGAAATCTTCAGTTTCGTTAGTCTCTACCTCTCCTTGACGTTCGTTTCTAACTGCAGCACCTCCATCGGGGCGGAGTTAAAGAAACATTCGGCGTCCAAACGTGAGCCTCAGAGCTCTCCAGAGCTCGGGGTCGGAGGTGGCATTAGCTAGACTCTCAGACTTTTATCTAGTGGGACATCCTCAGGGAGTGAGGATCCAGTTTCAGCCAAGGCACATAAAAGGATATGAGACGCGGGCTCAGTGTTAGCAAACTAGTGCAGGGACATATATGGCAAATGGCAAACTCATCACGGGAGAAGTAGGACAAGGAACAGTAGCGCAGCTACATGTGCGTCCTCAGTGCAGAAAGATGACATCACATCCCATGAATAGAGCCCACAAGGAGTCTCTAATTTCTTATGATGTATATCTTCACAATACTGCATGCTTCTAGGGAAGCGTATACCGTGCTGAATCACAACTATCCCAACTAAATCTTTAAACAAGGCTGAGCTGGCCTGACGCGGGATTGGCAGACGTTACCATGGCGCAGCTGAAATCAGCAAGAGCAGCAGGCATTTTGTTTTGCCCATTACATTGTCTTTACTTCTTTTCCATATCTAATGTGAATCTTAAGGAAAATTTTCTTAACTGGAGGACAGAGGCTCCTGGTATAGAATGGAATAAATTTCTAGCCAGGATAAATGGGGGAACTGGGGTCTTGCTTTAGCTGCTACAGCATTTTGAGCGTTTCATTGCAGAGTCAAAACAAAATGAGAAGGATTTCTGTTTTGACAGGCAGAGGAAGGAAAGGAAAATGCAAAGGAGGAAAAGTCACGCTGAAAAGAAATACCGGAAATTAGGTCGAGGAGAATGAAACGCCCTTCACCCTGTTACACGGAGGTTTTACTTTGATAATCTGGCAGAGTTGGGGCTGAAAGAACCTTCGGATCTAGAAACGTGATGTTCACCACCTGGCCAATATTCTCCTCCGCGGTCATTTTGGCGGGGAGAGAGTTTTTTAACCTTCAACTCGTAAACTCTAGGATTCTGTGGCCACGGGGTCCCGCCCCGCCTTCAGGGGCCTGAGGGCCAGCGGCTGGAGCGGGCAAGAAATCCCTCGGTGATGTTGTTCCTGCGCCCCCCACATTGGGACCGTCAGGCAGCTGTGGGGTGCCATCTCTCCGGGGCACCCTCTCCCCTTCCACCTTCCTGGGCCTTGTTTCTGCTTCTCTGCCAGACTGGCTGTTCCATCCTACATCTCATCGCTCCTGCTTTGGGGTGAGTCGGGAAGAGGGCTTGGAGGACGCAGCTCAGGCTGAGAGGCCTCGTTTGGACCTCAGCTCTGTTTCAGGTGGGATTAAATAGGCCGTTGTTTGGAATTCTACGTACCAGATTATCAAGAGTCTCCGTGTGTAATTGCATAAAATTACTATTGTTATGATTTTTTAATTAGCCACGTATATGTGACAAATAAATATTCTTTGAATACTTACTGTAGACGGTCATGGGGATTTCTTTGAAGGTGCTGCCACGAACAAACTGAAAATGAAGGCTTAGATTTAGGAACAGGAAATGTAGTAGTTGTAGCAACAAGATCATGCACTGCTGTACTTCTTACTGACACAAATAAAGCGAAGCTTTCATTACACTGAACGGAAGTGGAGCCTTCCTGTGAATCAGCTTCCAATTTCCTGCTATGAGGCAGGTGGCCTAAAAATGACTGAATTCGTTCCTCAGCCTCAAAATTATAGAATAATTAACCCAAAGCTGAATAGATTTACAAAGTACTTTTTTACATGTTTTCTGACCGTTCGACCCTATAATAATAAAGCAGCAAACTATTCCTTTGCCTTTACCTATTGTGATTAGTGACAACTTTTTACAAATAAATACTTTATCTCTTCCTTATATTCAGTAACAAAGACAGTTGAGAATAGAAAAGTTGTATTTTTTTAATATCCATGTCTCATCTGCCCCACTGGACTGTAAACTTTTTGAAAAAAGAGCCGTATCTGATTCAACTTAATATTTCACGTAACACTTAATACACTGCTTGGCCCCAAGTAGATTTTAGTAGATGTTTGTTGAATAAAGTCATAAAGCATTTATGTCCTTTCTTTACAGGTGTTGCCTAATCCATAGAGCGCAATCCCTGCCTAGTGACCAGCTACTCAACGCACACATTTCTAGTCTCTTATGTTCAACACATTATAAATGAATCCAATAATATTCTGTACCTTAATTTGGATGTATTTGATCAGTTTATTAAGAATATTCAGCAGCTGATCATTCCCAATAGGTGTGTCTGTGAAGAGGAATATTAAACACATGTTGGCAAGAATGCGTGAAATAAAAATCTAGGTTTCTATTAAAAAAAGAAAAAGGTCGAGTCTATGAACGAATTCAGCGACTGCCAACCTGCTGGGTAGAGAAGCTTATCTACGACGTGGATGACGCCATTTGTTGTCATGATGTCAGATTCCTTTGATTTCAGTTCATTCACCAGAAGCGTGTCGTTCACCTGTCAAAGCAGGGGACAAAGCCAATGAGAAATGTCATGAAAAACGACCGTTACGATAAGCAGATGATGAAGGAACGCTCTCATAACTTCTCTCCAGAGAACTTACTCCTTTCAGATAGATTTTGCTCCCTTGCGTGGTCTTCAGGATGTTAGTGACACCAGGTTCGAACCCCTTTCCGATGAAAACTCCGGGAGTCAGGTGGTAAAGGATGATGTTTTGAAGAGCATTTTTGTTGCCTGGGGGGGGGGGGAATGTACCTATTTAATAATGTGTCATCTTCCTTTTCGACATTTGGATGCTCTGAAGACTAAAGAGAGGAAGATTTGTCTCTATTTGTCCACACTGTAATTCCTCACGCCATTGATCTCTCAAGTCGACGTCAATACATAACTTAAGTGAACATCTGGCCCAACAAGATGACTGTAAGCAGCTAATTAAGAATATGAAGGAGGGACCCTCCACACATACTCAGTGAAAATAAAGGAAACTAAGGGCAGACAAGAAGAAGAAAAAGGAGGCATCCCTGAGGCGGATGTGAGGCGGAAGCCCTGGAGGAAAGCGTGTGATCCTGAGACCAAGGGGCAAACGTCCGGGTCCCCTCTACTCACGAATGAGAATTTCCTTTTCTTCATTGGTCATCCCCTTAAAGGCGTCGTTGGTTGGGACAAATAAGGTCCAGTCCCCAGGCTGTGTCAGGAGGTCTTTCAAGTCTGCGGCTTCTAGAAGGCTGAGGAAGATGCTAAACAGAAAGGACACGTGTTTGTTCTGTTAGATTCGGATCTAGGTGCCGTATGCTCGCCCCCAACCCACGGAGTAGGAGATTAACCACGTGTTGCAGAGGGCACGGGAAAATTGCTCATACATTTTCATATGTTTCAAATGCCATTTACATGTTTAGAAAGTTTTATCATAAGGAAATAATTTAAATGCACATAATGCTTTTTTAAATTTCCCAAACTCTGGTTTTGTCCTCTAAAACTTGACAAGGCCACACTTTTTAACAAATAAAATGCATGGTTTTTTTTTTCATTTAATATGCCACTAACTAGCCTTTGTGTTATTATATATTATCATAAAAAAAACTTATAATAAACTTGCAAAGCGTAGTTCAGTTGATAAGCTTGCTTGTTTCACTCACCAGATTGTATCATGGTGCACCAGGAAGCAAACTAGTGTGGAGAACATATTTTCAGTTTGAAAACATGTCCCTAGACTCCTTACTGTAAATTCTCTTCCCGGCACTCCTAGCTCCGAGGGGCTTTCTGGAACCCCGACTGGGAGCCCCCGCCCGGCCCCGCCCCGCCCCCGGGCTCACCTGAAGCGCTTGTCCTGCTTTAGTCTGTCGTGCAGGGACTGGTCTGCGGGGCTGATGATCTCGCGGAAGATGTGGATGACGCCGTTCCTCCCCTGCTTGCTTCCTCTCACCATGCAGGAGTTCTCAATGCAGACAGCCTGGCCGGGAGAGAGACGTGGCTCTGCATTCCCGCGTTTGGCATTCCCTCTGAGGGCACGGGGCCTGAGGGTGGGCCCGGGTCGGCCCTCCCAAGAGGGAAGCCGAGCTCTGCGGCCAGAGGAGGCGGCCTCTCTCCCCTGCTTTTAAGGTCTTGCACACCCTGACCTCACGCTCCTTACGCCACCAGGCTCTGTTACTTGTCAAGCTCCCCCGCCCCACCCTGTGTCCGGTGCGTAGTTTTGTGAGTAAGGAACGCACGTCCCATAGAATTCCATTCTTTGCTGCCACCCTCGTCCCTCCCGACCATCCCGCCCACCCCCTTAGGGGACTTTAACCCTTCCGCCCTTAAAGACCTTCTTTAACCAGAAGTTTCCTGACGTCAGCCCTGCTTGTGGTCTTCAGAAATATTTACTGTATTTTCTTAACAGTAGGATCCCATCAATGAGCAGTGAAATCATTGATTTAGAGCGTTTCTAAACAAGTAAAGGCATTTGTGTAACTCAGGGCGCTGTCCCTGTCCGCCGTCCTTTAAAATGCCAGCCTTGGAACTGCGGGACTGGAGCGAGCAGCTCGGTGCCGCGAGCAGCTGGGGGTGGTGCGCCTTCTGTGGGACTGGAAGGGCATGGGATTCCTGGGCAGACACCCGGCAGCACCGCTCGTCACGCTGATTCCGATCAGCAACACTTCCTAAAACGTTTTCCTGAGATAAAGTACATTGGGGCCATTTTCTACAGTTCAGATACCTTTACGTGATGATAAACGTTTATCTTGAAAGCCACTCAAAAGAGATTCAGTTGCTGAACTGTGATCTTGCAGCAAAAGACCATCCTACGAATTTTGATTCTATAGGAAAATTACCTCGTAAGCGGTAAAGAACTCTAGGAACTGACGTGTAAAGGGCCAACAGACATCTGAGAAGATGTTCAGCATCACTAACCATCCGGCAAATGCAAGTCAAAGCCGCAATCAGACAGTACTCATACCGCCAGTCCGATGGCTAGTATCAGAAGCTCATACAATCAGGAAGAGGGGTATCATACGGCCCAGCAACCCCTCTTCTGGGTATCTAACCAAAAAAGTTGAACACATCGATTCACAAAGATAGATGCGCCTCTATGGGCATTGCAGCAGCGTTGACAGGGGCCGACACAGGAAGACAAGTGAAGTGCCCTCCCAGAGAGGACTGGGTAAAGGTGGGGGCGCACATGCAGGGGAACACCCCTCGGCCAGAGGAAAGGCAAGACGCTGCCCCTTCAGCAGCGTGGGCGGACCTTGAGAATATCGTGCTAAGCGAAGTCAGTCAGACTGAAAATGTTAAGAACCATCTGACTTCACTCATAGGTGGGATATAAAACTGAAAGCAATAAACGAACAAACAAGCAAAACAGACAAAGGGAAACTCATAGACACAGACAGCAGCGCGCCGGTTACCGGGGGCGGGGGGAGAGCGGCAGGGAAGGGTGAAGGGGGATCGAACACACGGCGGCAGGAGAGCGTTCAGCCGCGGGCGGCGGGCGCACAGGCCGCGCACAGGCCACGCGCCACGGAGGTGCACGCCTGAGCCCCACATGGTCTTACCGACCAGTGCCTCCCCAACAAATTTAATTTAAAAATAAATGAAGCATATACCTAGAGTAAAATAAAGGTCAACGAAGGTGCAGAAAAAAGGGAGCCTCGTGTACTTTTGGGGGAAATGCAAATTGCTGCAGCCACTATGAAAAACAGCATGGAGCTGGCTCAAAAAAGTAAGCATTGATCTACCGTACGGCCCAGTGACACTACTTCTAGGGATTTCCTCCTATATATGAAGAAAACAAAAACACTAATTCAAAAAAATATATATATATACCCCTATGTTAATTGCAGCATTAGTTGCACTAACCAAGATATGGAAGTCCATCGATAGATGAATAGATAAAAAAGATGTGGTACCTTTTCTGCAATGGCATATTCGCCATAAAAAAGAATGACATTTTACCATTTGTGACAACATGGACGGACCTAGGCGGTATTACGCTGAGTGAAATAAGTCAGGCAGAGAAAGACAAATAGCACGTGACTTCAGTTATACGTGGACTATAAAACAAAACAGAACCAACAAAAACAGGCTCACAGAAATAAGGATCAAACAGATGGCCCCGCGGGGCAGCGGCCGGGAGGGCGGGTGGAAAGGGTGAAGAGGTCACGGTCAGCAAAGCTGTGGCCGGTCTGCCCAGCGATGGACGGTCGCTAGGCTCCGCGTGGCGACCACACTGTACGGGGTATGAATGTCGACGCGCTGCATCGGACAACCGAACCTGATTTGTATACCAATGACACTCAAAGTAAAAGTAATAAGAACCTTATTCGAGAGAAGTTTTGGTGGTTTCTGGAACTGAAATAAGGGATCCTTTGTAAGAAAGTTATTTATAAAGACACAAATGCAAATTTTCTGCATTATTAGCACACAGCGCTCTTGGTGCGATTTTCTGCCTTCCCGCACGTTCCTCAGTTCCCCGACCTCCGGATCTATATTAACTTCTAGCACGTCATAAAAATATTGTGGGAGACATTTGCTGTGACAGCGTTCTCCGAGGAAGGCAGGCCGTTTGCCGCCCCGGCCGGCATACGCGCTTCCTGTCGCAGTGGCCCACTCACCGTGCGGTACACGAAGACCCTGAGCTGCTTGCCCCCGACCGTCTCGAGCCTCTGCCCGTTGTAAAGCTCGCTCAGGCCGACCTTCACTTTCAGGATGTGGTTCTGCAGAATCAGCCTCAGGAGGCGCTGGTCCAGGCGCAGGGTCTCGTCTGCAAATAAGTTTTTCCGGGGAAAAGGTGATTTTACTTAGAAAGCATTCACGTTGCTCCTGGTAGGAGAAAACCATGAACATGGGCAATTCTTCTTATGGACGTTATGGATCCTACGCTTGAATCCTATGTGAGTCAATGACACGCTCAAGGCAATGAATTTTAAGAGCAGCTCGGCGAGTTCCTCCATCAAGTGTCCGCGGCGGACCCCCCCCAGCCCACACAGCGGGCTTCCTCTCTGCGGCAGCCACGCAGCTTTACGTGGCCACGGACGAACGTTACACTCTCACGCTGGCCAAGAACTTTCCTGAGAATCTGATGTCAATTAGTCACATGGAAGACGAATGATGAATCATTTGTAAATTTGTCTTCATCGCTGAAGAGAAAATCAAAGCACGCAACCTCTTAAAGGTGGGTAGATGTTAAAAATATTAAGTAGGGATACCATTAGCTCAGAGAAGAACATTTCTAGGAATGTGACTTTTTTATTAATAATTTCTAAGCCACGCTTTGGTATTTGGAAAATTGTACACCAGGTGGCACTTATTTGTTTTTGTAATTACTAAATTATGCCTCACAATTTAAATATGTCTTTATAAAATCACTCTTCCGGAAATAGTAGCAGGTTAGTCATCTAAGCACTGTCTCTGCAGAGCAGCTACTTGGTAAGACACTTATCATAACAGTGCACATCGTAATAGGGAAGTGCATAATATTCTCTGGTTTTTATTTAGTTATAATTTAACATCTTACTGTCAAATTCTGAGATGGAAAATATACCGGCTTATTCCTAGATATCATGTTGGTATTGAGTAAGAGAATTAAATGTATTTTTCTTAAGACCCATCATGTGCGCCGGTGGCATCGTTTCATTCGGAGACTAAGTGAACATCCCTTGTCACAAACCACCACTCTGTATTCCATTACCTGTTACAATAAAATGTTTTGAAATAAACAGCATTTTCATAGAGGTGATGCTGCGCTAACACACTGTATGGATGGCCGATCCCAAAACTAGTCGACGCCTTGTGAAATACCTATTATTTCTGGTCGCAGACAGTCCTGGAGCAGCAAGGGCAAGCCCGTGCTGGGGGCCGGGGCGCGGGGAGACGGGGGCACCTACCAGTAAACGCGTTGTTCAGGGGGGCCAGCAGGGTGTACTGCCCTTCGGGCCTCAGCGTCGACGCCAGGCCTAACTGGGCCACGAGGTCCGTGAACGTGGTCTGCTGCTTCCCCGCCAGCTCAAGAACTTGTTTAGCTGCAAAACAAACCATCCGAATTCCCTGGAGGTCGCTCGTGTGGCCATCGTCACCGTGAACTTAGTACGCGGCATCCTGGCTGCTTTCTAGAAGCTTCCCTTCTGGGGGCGGTTCGTGACCACAAAGCCTCTCAGGAGGACACTGTCCTTCCGTCTCCTGACCTGCCATTTTTTAAGATTTCCTATTGCTCCCCTCTGGACGCGACCCTTGTGGGTACCGTAACTCTTCCATTTACTCAAAGGTGGCCATTCGGGGATAGCTGTCCTTGTGTTTTGAAGAAACCTGTGGCGCCGTGGGAGGCCTTAGGAACACTAGCCCTTAGAAGCCCTCGGAGACCAGTGGCCCCACACGGCGTGCCAGGGCTCCACGGTGCCCGGCGGGCGCCCCGCTCACTCGCTGCTGACTCCGCATTTGCGTTTCGCGTGCCGGTGCTCACACGACACGTTCGTCTCTCATGGACCTCCCCTGGGGGCACCCTAATCGATAAACGAGAGGAAGCAGAAGAATTCGAAGCCGTTACCCACCGGCATCAGGGATGAGGACCTGATCGATCAGGTGAATCACACCGTTGTTTGTCACGATGTCTCTTTTGTTCACCATTTGGATCCCATTCACTGTTATGCTGTTCCCGTCGCATCCGATCTCAATGGTGTCGCCTTGCAGGGTCTCAAAGACGGCACCCCCCATGATGGCCTCCGAGCACTGGAGCGTGTTTAAGATGTGGTGCTTCAGGAGCGCTGCGGGGCAGCACAAAGCGAGGACACGGGCACGTCACGGGGGGTAGCGCTTGGCCCCCCGGAAATGCGTTTCCCTGTGACACTAGCGTTCCTCCCAAACGCGATGCACACATCTCATCCAAGGATCAACCAAAGGTTTTTATTCTTTTTTTCTTTTTCTTTCTTAAACAACCAAAGGTTTTTAAAATCTGTTACGTTCTCGGAATGTTTTTTCATCAACTACGCAATAGAAAGAGCTCAGCCCAGGGGCTCAGTTGCATGACCTGATTTGTGTAGTACTGAAAAAAAAAATGTGTTAGATCAAGTTCCCACTGTTGTAAGCAACTTCTGATGTGAGGACAAAAAAAAAAATTGTTCCCTGCAGACGGCTCGTAAAGCGACCTGTTCCAGGCAGTGTCTCCTGCCAGCACTCCCGACGGAACAGCAGCGCGTTATTTGTAAAGGGGTGAATCGAGGCAGAAGGAAGACCAATGATTCCCTAAAGACAACGTCTAGGAAGAAGCCAGAGAAAGGTGACTCCTTCAAGAAACCCCAAGGGCTCTGTGCCTCAGCGCTGCTATATCTGTACCTTCAAAATGTCTCATCTGAAATTGTGTACACGTGCATTGGAGCCGGCTGAGAAGGTGAAACACAGCCGTCCCTATGTCAGGTCCGTTCGGAAATGGAGAGGGAGGCTGGAAAGCAGCCCAGCTGAGCACATCAGTAACGGCCCGCGAACCAGTGCAAGCTCCTCGGCTCACATACGCCCTTTAGCACAGATTCTGCACTAAGGGCATTTCATAATATGCGTGCAGTATCAAAATTTGATCACCTAATATTTCTGTTCAGCACTTGCCAATCCTTTGTAATGTTCCTATTTACGTACCGGAGAGCAGTACAAAAATGTAATCTTTAGGATACTGTGATTTTAGTTACTTCCATTATTAAATGATTGGACGGCTCTGCGCAGTCGTTCCAGGACCTTGTTTGTTATGCTTTTGAAGGCCCAGTTCTAAGAAGCCTCTCTTTGCCTTTGCCTGTGAGAGCCGAGGGCGCCGGCAGGGCACCTCCTTCTCATCGCCTCCCCTCCCTGCAACTCTGGCAAGCCTCGACACCGGAAGCCGTTCTCCTACCTTCGGAAGCCACCTTGTCCCCCATGATTCTCTCTAGGACCCCACGTGGAAGTTTCCCAAAAGCCTCGTTGGTGGGAGCGAAGAGGGTGAAGTGCCCGTCTCGCCCGAGGGTCTCCAGGATGTCCGACGTGAGGGCGGCCGCCTGCAACACAGAGGTGCTTCAGGGGCCGGGCGCTACAGCCCCGCCGCGGGGCGGCCCGCGGGCCGCGCGCCTCCCACAGACGCTGCAGAGGCGCGCTCCGGTCAGACCTTCCCGGCCTCGCTCTTCGGCGCACCCACCGTGCCCTTCCCAACCGTCCCCGATCTACACAAAAAGGACGGCTCTGCCACGGTCCACGTGAATGCAGCAATACCCAGCAGTCCGCATAGTAACTAAGACAGGCACTTTCAAAAGGCACTAAATACGTAGCAGTCGCAGAACTAAGCATTCTTACCCATGTTGTTCCCATAAGTATGATCTCCCATAAGGTGACTTCTTCATAAAATGAAAATCTTTTTATTTCAAGAAATATACTTGCTCCCTTCCTGCCAGATCTGCTTAATGGCTTTTTTATTGCTTCCACATCCGGGCAGGGGACAGAGAAGGAATTGCAATGACCCAAGATCCAACCCGCTGTTGCTTCTCACACTCACCCTAAACGATGAGAGATCGTCTTCGGCCTCAATGAAGTCCTGGATGGAGGTACCAATTTGGGTGAGGACGCGGTCGATGACGTGCACCACGCCGTTTGTCGCGATCTGGTTCCCGTGGATGATGCGTGCGCAGTTCACAGTGACGACCTACGAGTATCGGGGAAAATCAAGGGCAGGGGTCAGAGCCACCTACCAGCCGTGGAGACCGCGGGCCCTTCCTGCTCTCCATTTGCGCCGGCACGATGAGTGTGCAGGCGGGCGTCTGAGTATAAACACTGAGAATGGGGACTCGCACGCTGGTATGTACTTAAAAACACAGGAGAAGACGGAGCCAGGAGAGAATGCAGGTGCGCTCACACGCAACATATCGTAACACATAAGACAAAAGCATGTTTCATTTGAATGACTGTATTCTTTTCTTTCTTTCATAGAGCCAGTAATCAACGTCCTGATGTAGAGCAATAACTTGCACAAAAAGTCTCAATAGCCCTAAAATAAGTTCTGAGAGAGGAAAACGAACAATCATTGCATAAGTATAATGAATTCTATTCTAATAACGTCCTAAGTATTACGTTGTCAGTGACCCTTTCTGTCCCTGGACATTGGACTGTTGAAGGAGCCCTATGAACTCGTAAGTTGCACACAAGGATGCTTATTAAACACACAAGGACCTAAGTCAGTAAAGTGGCCAGAGGCCGAATGAAGGAATTCTCATTCTCTGATTATTCTTTGATAAATTCTCAGATAAAGTCTTAATTATTATTTTCTCTGGTTATTGTTTTTTCAAACGCATCAACGACTAACTGTCCCGCTTTAGAACAGCTAAGCCTATGGCCAATTTCACGGATTCCTCACAACCACTCTTTGCTAGAAATCAATCCCTGAGCCAATACCACACCTGCCCTAGTATATAAATAGATCAGGAGACTTAAGGGCAATATTGCTTAAAAGTGTACTGTTTACTGATGAAACTTACCCCATTAGGATAATGGTTAATGAAAAGCCCCAAATTGTTGTACATCGAAGGGACAATCAGGCCGTTTTTTAAATCCTTGGTTAACATTCTCTTATCGACCATGTGGCTGTGCAGGGCGTTCAATAGTTCAACGTTTACATTGCTCTCCAGACCTCTGCGAATGTCCTAGGAAAACGGAAACGACAGGAGTTTATTTTATTGCGGTTCATTCGTAATAGTCTTATGCTCACACTATTTCTCCTCTCATTACCTGCCCGTTGCATTGTGTAGCTGCGCAAACAAAATTGACGTCGTTTATTTTATCTTATTCCCATTGACTCAGGAATTCTGTCAGTCCAGGCCCTCAGGTAAGGGCGCTGAGTCTGGGGAAGTGCTTGGGCATTTTTTAGAGGCCAAACAAAATTTTAAATGCGTATATTGCCAAAGCAACAGTCTTGATATAATGTAAAGGCTTAAGGGGGCATATAGTTATCAGATATTTAAATTATATTGCACAATAGAACCAAAAGCAGTACTTTGTTTACAATATTTGAATTTAAACAAGGATTTTGTGTTTATTCAAAAACAAATGGGAGAGTTCAAACGTCCCGTGCCTTTCTCTCTCCAGGAGCAAATGCACACAGAGCTGCGGGAGCACCGTGCTGGGGAAGCTCTACTCATCGCACACGGCGTGTGAAAGGGACACAGCAGGTAAAGGACAGAGGAGGAAGCAGGGCCGTCAGAGGTCAGAGGAGGAGGGCCCGCGTCCCGAGGTTGGCAGGCAGGCCCCGCAGGGGCGCGGGGACGGGGCGGGGGGCATGGTCTTCGGCCGGCGGCTGAGCCAGGACAAGCGGGGGAGGGCCGGCGTTGTCCGGCGGGGGGGGCCCGTGCCCGCGTGGCTCTCCGACAAGCCTAGAAAGACATTCAGACCCGCACGGGGGGCAATACCATGTGAGGCTTTAATGCCCGAGTGGCGTGTGAATTCCACAGGCCGCGGGGGACAGGGTGGCCTGGGGTCGTAGTCATTAGACGGGGTTCCAGGCGGGCGGATCGGGTGGTCATGCAGAGAAGGAATGAGGGAAACGAGGGCGCCGAGAGTACGAAACGCAGGACGTGGGTGACGAACCGTCGTTCGTAAGAATTGGAAAGCGAGCTGGTGAGGATGAGTCATAATTTTCGAGTCTGAACACTGAGGTTTCTACGGCCAATTATGGGGGGGGGGAGCCAGCAGAAAAGCCATTGTTAACGGGTAAGACAGGGTATATGTTGTAGACACCTTTTTGTTTAAAGATGCAAACATGCATCCAAGGAGCAATATGGAGACAGACACTAGACACGGTCCCCGGGGACCCAGGGGAGCAAGCACAAGAGACACGGGTTTCGGGGTTATTTGCACCAAAGTGAGAGCTGACGTCGTCAGAGGGGCTTGCAAAGCCAAAGCCCCCGCCCGGGCGTCCTTGAGACACGTCCTCAGGCAAGGACGGCGGGGAGTCGGCACGAGGGCTCGGGGAGGGGCGCCGGGGGCAACCGGCAGAGAGGGTCCTGCGCCGCGGGCCGTGGGCCGCACGGCTCCTGCAGCCAGGTTCCCAGCGCAGGCACCTGTCTGCGTTCTACCAGGCGCCATTGGGCTCCCTCAGCGATCACCGAGTCGCCCGCACAGGCCGGAGAGAGTGGAGCTAGGGCCTAGTACCGGCTTCATAGATTTGGAAATCGAGCCACAGTGCGGTGTGTGGTAACTCAGACCGTTTACAACACGTCTGAAAATCAAATGCACTGTTTACGCCACTTCACTGAAACACTCGCACATGTGTTTTTAAACCTGTCCATCTCTGAACAGCCAGTATTTTCACATATACTTAAAGTAATAGTTAAGTATACCTATATAATATAATAAATTTCAAATTTAACCAGCCTTCTTAACTTATCTTTCTATTGGACAACGTCAATTAAAACGACATATATTTTCTCACAGCCAAAAAGCCAAAGGGGAACGGAGTAAAATAGAATAATAGTAAGTGCTCGTTCAGGCCATTCTTGGTTTGCCTTTTCTGTTTTCGGCCGTGGGGTGCTGGGGAATTATTTCATTTGCGGAAGTATCAAAACGATTGGCTCCTTCCCCTCAATGACACGCCCTTTTATGTATCGTCATATATGCACAATACAAACGCACAAAACTTCTACTAACTTCCGAGCTAACAAAGCGACTAAAATAAAGCAACAATGACAGCTGAAATGATTATATTGATAAGAATAATGAATTACAGGGTCCAGGTTGTCCCACGCGTCATTACTGGGCGCGAAGTACGTGAATGACCCCTGCCCTTCGATCTCCTCTCTCAGCTTCGAGACGTCGGAGTAGCGCTGCGTGGTGGTGGCGCCCACGATGCCCAGGGTGCCGTACACGTGGTCGATGGGCAAAACTGAAACGACAAGGAAACGAATCCGGGCTCCAGCGCTTAGTTCAACAAACTAAGTTAATGCTTCGCAAGCATTTAAACTGTACACGCGCTTCCCCCATGCGCGAGGGTTGGGGAACTGACCGCTTTAGCGGTAAAATTCCAGGAGTCATCCGATGTATGTGGAAGTTGCCTTTTGAGTGCTAACTAATGAAATATTGTTGAAAACTGTTACTTTGCATACATTTTGTGTACGTCCCTGTGAGGAAAAGGAATTTTAAGTGATCATCCCTGTTTCACATCGAGTCTGTTCAGGCGTCAGCCCTCCAATGCTGGCAACAGCGGAGCTATAATCATCAGCAAGTATTTCTGATTATTTCATGGCAAAGGTAACATTTTCATTCATGCGGCCTGAAAATTCCTACACGGTATAATATGTTTAGGTATAGGAATGTAATTGTTATAGATTTGGGTCCCTAAAAACGTAAGTAGACCTGTTTCTTTTCATCATAATTTCAGGAAGAAAACAGGTCGAAGTGCCTACCCCAGCATGTCCACAGTGGTTCTCTTGAACTTCCCAGAGGAAAGAGTAATACATGAATATCAACCCTAACACGGGCGCAGCCAACTTATTTTTAGAACTCTGTCACATCTGAAAATTAGTCTGGTTTGCACAGCAGCGTTGGGTTAAGTCATCATTGCACTTGTGACTGTAGTGGGTCTGGGTGGCAGAGTTAATATAGGAAATGATAAAATCAGGACTTAAAAAGATCCCGACAGGATGGGCAAAATTAGTCAAAACTCACAGGTTTTGCGCAGCGTAGCAGGGTTCCGCGCAAGCCCCGCGCTGACGCGGCACACACAGTCCCACAGAAGGACCTGTCTTGAGACTGGCCAGGAGGGAAGGCCAGCGATCTACTCTAACTGATTGCAAACTCGGCGTGAGCCACTGATATGACACGGTAGCCAACTGTAGTGACCGCAGGTCAGGGCCGCCACAGTGGGGTGTTTGTCTTCATATTCTCTCAGCTGCTTGGACGCCCCATGACCCATGACCCCCGTCTGGGATCACAGTCCGACAAAGGTGACTGAACCCGAGGCTTCTGGGCAGCTGTGCCTGCCGGTGAGACAGCCACAGGCCCTGCGACCTCCGGGGAAGCGGGTGGGCCTCCTGCCTCCGCAGAAAAGAGGAGCTGCAGTTGCCGGGAGGGGAGGCAGGAGGAAGGGCGACGGCTGGGGTTCACTGTCAGACGAGCCGTCATTTCAAAGAGGAAAGAGACGAGCTGTTGTTTTCTCGAGCTGGCAGAGTTCCAGCAAGCCAACTCTCCACCTGGCCAGACCCCGGCGGTCCGACCAGGAAAGGCGGTGCTGTGCCGCGGCAGGCAGCTGTTCCCAGGCACGTTCAAAGAGAGGGGTCGGTGGAGGACGTGTTTGTCGCGAAGGAAAGGGGACTTAGTTTATCGCAAGCATCTGTTGCATCGTCCAGAATTCAGAGCATGCAAAGCCCATCTCATTACTTTATCGTCGTGATAAGGTCATGATGAACGTACATACTAACGTGCGGGGTGTGTGGCTCAGATTATCATGATGCTACACACACGCTCATGTGCATGCACGCACACACACACACACACAGGGTTGACGTCTCTAAAGCCACCGCAGCCTTCCCTCCCCGCGCGCGCCGAGCCCCTCCCGGGACTCCGGAGCCGCGCTTTACCTGCCGTGCAGCCTTGCATCCCGTCCATGCGCATGTAGCCGGGGCAGCACTCGTACAGCACGGTCCTGCACGTGGGAAGAAAGGCAGCGTCACCATGGGCGCTGGGCGTGGCGAGGCCGCGCACGGGGCCACGGGCTGCGCACGGGCCGCAGAACTCTATCCGCTGCCCCCGGATTTCTCAAGCAGTTGTTCAACCAGAAGACAACGTTTCGGCCAAGTGATACATAAAGTCCTAAAGGCGTCCCTGGGAACCGAGCCCCCGCCGGTGGATGGCAAGTCAGGAATTCTTGCCATGTAAACTGTTGATTTCTTTGGTTATTTGGAACTGACCAGCAGCTAGCATTTACGTTCATTCCAGAGCACAGGTGTAAATGGGTTTGTGAAAAAAATGAAGCTACTTGGGGGAAGTATGCTAAGATAATTAAACAAAGGAGGCATTGTTCTATTGCTGGTAAAAAGCCAGGCTTTGAAACAACGGGGAAAAAAAATTGTTTTTAATGGAAAGCAAGAAAGAATCTTGGCATATGCTTGGTACAAGCCTCGGCATCTCTAACATATTTATATGGTTAATATAAGATTACCTCACGTATCTTAACTTCTGGGGAGAATATAATAAAGATTTCCCCTAAATATTTCAGAGGATGGGTCTTTTCTTACGTAGTGAATATGCATCCCAAAGACGCCTCATGGTGACCGAGCACATAGAGGACAAAGATCTGAATCCAGAGCCTGGGTGTTCCCCGCTGGGGCCTGAGTGTGTCACGGCCAAGTTCACGGCCATGGCTGACTCGTAGCTCCGACTGTAAGTGTGTGAATGACTCGCAAGTCTACCTGACGTCTGTAAACGAATGGGAATAGTGTCCAGGCCAAAAAGTAGCCTCAGTGGAATAACGAGCCGCCGAGCGGGGATGGGTAGCGACGTCTGGCAGGTCCTGCGCTTGTTTACCGCGGGGGCGGGGGCGGGGGCGGGGGCGGGGGGGGGGATGGCCTGTGCCTGGAATATATGATTCATTTTTGGAAATAAAAATAATTCTACGCATCTTAGCTAAGCATCTGCTCACCACTCCTTTTCCCATCTGCCCACATCCATTTGTTTACAATAGTTAAAAGGAAAGGACAAGTGATTTTGCGAGTTATCTAGCAATTTCCCAATCGTCCATCCAATTTACCTTCCGAAGCTCTGTGAGTGTGACATGCACATTTCACAGGTAAGAGGCACGAAGACTCCGCGAGGTGAAATGACTCCCTGCTTATTATCTGTCCTAATACTTGGAATTGAAGGTTTTGATACCCCTGCGACCCTCCCGCCGCGTTTAGAGCAGCTGCCTCGGACGGACGGGGACGCGCTGGGCGGGCCTCCTCCCCACAGGCGGCCTCTCCGGGCATCTGTGCTGTGGGCGGGGCCGCGCGAGCGCGCAGCGAGGGGCCTGCGCCGCCGTTCCTTGCCGGGGAGACAACGCCGATGTGACTTAACTCTATGACTCAGCTCCTTCATTTTAAAAGGAAGGATTTGGACCACGTGAGCAACTCTCAACCTTCATGTGCCCAGGATTCTGCTGTGTTTTTTTTTTTTTTCCTGCTAACACTTATTAAGAGATTAAACCAGTAGGCATGTCTATCAAGTAATAAAGCACATTCTCCAATTTTCAGTTAATCAGTGAAATACATGACTAATCTAAAGAGTAATTGTCTTTTTGGCTATCGAAGTAGGAGATGCCGTGGCGGACTTGGTGGACCCCTGGGAATCTGGCGGTTTGGAACAGAATGACTGAAGTAAATAAAGAGATGAAATTCAAATCCCTTTGCAACTTTAACTCTGATGGAAACTCTGGCGCCAGTTGGAGTACTTTTTTAAGTGACTTCCAAGCAACTGCAGGGAGCCACTTTTTTTGTGAATCAGAACCCCGGGTATTTCAGATCATTTTGTTCTTCTGGCATAAAGAGCAAGTAGAAATGACATAGTCCACTCTGGCTGGTGTGGCTCAGAGGCCTGAGCACAGGCCTGGGACCTGAAAGGTCGCTGGTTCGATTCCCCGTCAGGGCACAGGCCTGGGTTGCGGGCCAGGTCTCTGGCTGGAGCGTGTGAGAAGCAACCCGTCGATGTTTCTTTCCCTCTCTTTCTCCCTCCCTTCTCTCCTATCTAAAAATAAATACATAAAACCTTAAAGAAAAGAAAAGAAAAAGGGATAGAGCCCTCACTGATTTCTACCCCGTGTCGCAGCATCGCCTGCGACACCTTCGGCCCTCCTGATGCTCCCGCCCAGGAACGAGGGCGCCTCCAGCGACGGGGAGTTGCCAGCGGGATTTCTCCACGCACACGTGTGGCCTGTTCTTTCACAGTCGGGGGGGGGGGATTTTCTAGGAAAATGCAGTGTGTGCCCAGGGAGGACCCCGGGAGGAGACGGCGAGACTCACGTTTTCTTTCCGCAGATGGCCCCCTGGTACCAGTTCCTGCAAGTGCTGAAGTATTTCTTCTCGGTGCCTAAGATCTGCTGAAGGGCGCAGACATTGGGGCTTGAAGGAAGGAAGAAAAGAGAGGGAGTTAAGGTCCCCATGACAACCCGTTTTTTAAAATATTTACAGGTGCGATAGTTAAAAAAAAAAAAAATGACACATGGCTTTGATTTGCAAAGATGTGAGCCCAACCTGACTCCTACGGAGTCACTGAGAAAACTAGAGGGGAGAAGGGAAGCAGGATGTAAAAACCGGTGTCCCAAAAGGTCGCCTGGGAGGGCCACCAAAGCAGCCCTCTGCAATTTCGTTACCATGTGTCTTAGTACTTTGAATCGTAAGTAACCCATCGACCCTTGTTAAACTAAATGTGGGCCCCTTTTGGGCGTGGGGGTGGGGCCTTAGGGCTCCCCAGAATGGTGCAAGGTCAGAGAGCAGAAGGGACTGGTTTTTCTTTGCCCACAGACACTGGTGTACTCTGTAACTGTCTAGTGAGGCCTCCCAGAAATAAATGAGGGTACAATTCACTTCAATAACATGGCTGCACAAAGGAAAATTCATTTCTCGAGTGGAACTAATAGATCGGAACCTTCTCTGCCAGAATTTTAAGTGTTTTTTTTTTTTTCTCCTCTAAAGAGACAGAAGTTGTATTCGCCCTGTAAGGCAAGGAGCTTTTGCGCATTTTGAAAAATCCCTCTAAGGCAAAGGAGGAAGTCTAAGATCTCTTTCAAAAAAAAAAATGCAGTTAAGACACTAAATTATGGCACAACTTTTAAAATGCTAAACTGTAGTTGAATTTATTCTAAGAAGTGTAAACTGTTTTGCATTTCCACTGAATCGGAAATGTAAAAGCGTAATAAATGCTTCAAAAAACTCAGAGAACTACATCACTGCTTACTTCCTCTTTATATAGGACTTCAAAAAAACTTTTCCTCACCTCACATGAGCTCTTTCAATGCTACTTACTCAACGAGAGCCTCTAACCACAGATTCTGTGATTTTGAAAATCTCATTCCAGGTGTCTTGGGGAGGAAATAAAAACAGGAGTATACTATTGTTAACCTCCCCCTGTCTATTTTGTACCTATCATTTATGCTTCTTATTCCCTGTTCCTTTTCAGAACAGTATAGGAAACGGAGAAGCCAAAGAACCTCTATGCAGGACCCAGGGACATGAACTAGGGGGGAAGAAAATGTTGGTGGGGGCGGGGGGGTGCAGGGCGCAGGGGGATAAAAGGGGAGGGGAAAACGGGACAACTGTAATACCATAACCAATAAAATACACTTGAAAATAAAAATAAAAACCCAAAACACAAGCCAAGCGCATCGTAAAGAAATGCCCTGTTAAATGCGAACTCGATGAGAACGATACAAACTTTCCTAAAAAGCAATGGTACACAAGTTGCTCGCAGAGCGATCCTTCAAGCCCAAGACACACTTACAAATCACAGAACAAGCGGGGGCCCCCTTTCCCTGTAACGCAGCACCCAGGAGGCACACCTCAGGTGCGCCTGCCTCCTCCGGCAGCCAAGGCGCGCAGAGAAAGAAGGCTCTGCCGCCGCCCACCTACCCGTGGTCGCGGCCCCGGATCCGGCTGTGCACCAAGATCTTGTCGTAGTGGCCGTTGGCGCCGGCGGGGTTAACAGCCGCCAGCAGCAGCAGCGAGAGCGCGGGCAGGAGCGGAGTCATCCTGGGCCGGCCGAGCGGTGCCTCCGCGCAGGGAACTGGCGGCGGCGCCCGGAGCGCGCGCTTATATACGCGCCGTCGGCGGGCGGGGGCGCTGCGCCCGCGGGAGTCAGGGGCGCGGGACCGGGGCGCGGGCGGCCGCTGGAGCCTGCGGCGCCGGCGCCGGAGCGCGCGCGGCTCTGCTATTGATTTTGTATATTGGTCAATACAAATGTATATGGATACATATATGGAAAAATATTGATAGTTTATTGATTATGCCATTACAGTTGTCCCCTTTTTCCTCCCCTTTATTTCCTCTTCTCTCTTAGGAAGAAGCTATTTCCTTTAAGGTTATTTCTACTTCTCTTGATTTTTAACACCCAGCTCCTGGCCTGTCACGGTTCCACGTTCTGTAACTTAGAGGGGCCTGGCGCGGGGCCAGAACGCGCGGGGCCTGGAAGGGAGAGCGCGCAGCTCGCCTCTGTCAGGGCGCCCCTCCCGCGCCTGAGATCGCTCTCCGACCTGATCACAGCTGCCCCGTCCAGTCCAGGTCAGCGCGGCAGCGAAAAGGCACCACCCGCTGGAAGCTGAATCCCAGCAAAGGAAGGCGCGAGGCCGACAGGCACAGAGCGGCAGGGCCGCGGATGAGAAACAACCGCGGCGGACGCAACGCTTGCCTGGCGGTCAGTCGCGCAGAGGAGGGACCCCCCCCCCCCGCCCCCGCTCTGGCCCCTCTTCGAACATCAAGGAGTGGATGGAGTTAACAGAGCCTCTTTCTGGCCAGCTCCCCAAGGCAGAGCTGTGCTGTTTATTCGTGGCATCCTTCCCCCGAGGCTGGAAATCTCTGGGCGGCAGGCCCGATAACCCCGGGACAGAAGGGTCCCCTATGGGAGCACGGTGTCCCTGGCCAAACTGCAACAGGATATTTAAATGCAGATAAGGACACAGGGGCCTTGCCAGCGTTATTCCTCGGGCTTTATCGGGAGGAACCACCGCCGCTCAGCGTTCCGCGGCTGCAATCGCTGGCCGAGGGGACAAGCGTTCTCACCGCCCCACGAGCGGCAGGCCAACTCTTCAGAACACTTTGCATAAAAGAAATCTGAATTTCGGAAGCCAACGGTGAGCTAAAATGGTAACTCCAATGCGTCTCCTTGAATCAGCAAATCACACACCGTCCCACAGTCAAAGCAAAGTTCAGATGTTTTTCTCCTGGCAAAGGGCTTCCGCTGCAGGTGATGGATAATTCTCCACCTTGCTGCTCGTTTATTGAGAAAGTGTACAATGAACCCATAAATGCTGAAGTGTGATTCCGCTCGCACATTTGGGTAGCCAGGTAGAGAAAATAGAACCGTAATTCCCCAGGAGAGATGAAGCCCTGGCCAGTCGCTCAGCTGGTTTTTAGTGACAACAAAGGTTGCGGGTTCAGATCCTGGCCGGGCACACACCTGGGCTGCGGGTTCGATCCCTGGTAGGGGTGCGTCCGGGAGGCAACAGACGGACGGATGCCTCCCTCTCATGCTGCTGTTTCTCCCCCCACCCTGCCTCTCGCTCTAAAATCAACACGCATATCCTAGGGGGAGGGTTTAAAAAAAAAACAACGAGAGATGAAGAGAAGATGTCAGTCCAGGTAAATTACGTTCCTTCCCTCCTCCCTCGTGGGAAGAAGAGAATTAGCCTATTACTTACGCTTCCGTGGGTGAAATTATTCTAACTCCAGAGGCATGTTGCAGGCGTGCTTTACATAGTGGGTTTCCATTATTACGTTGCGCACGTAGTGGGTGGTTAGTAACTGCTTCTTGCGTAGGATGAAAGGACTTATGAAAATAATTTCTACTAAATATCAGCAAATTATCCGTTAGAACGTTACTGATAACACAGTTATAGAAACGTCTTCAATTCTAGGCTGGTTAGACATTATGACACAGATTACTTCCTGAAGATGTAACAATAAAATTTCGGAATTGCAGAAAAATCCATCAAGCTTAAAATACGGAGATCTCACTGACGTCACCACCGTAAGCAGCAATTCACTCTTTTCTGGGAACCCACTGCTGTTATACAACCCTTCTACGTTTTAGGCAGCATGGCTGTGCATAAGCTCGTCCGCGATGAAGCAGAATCCCGGGCACGTGCAACGGGTCCCCCCTGGGGAGGAAGAGATGGGGTGTAGAGGGAAAGGGGCACCGGCTTGGATAGTTGGTATCGAGAGTAAATGAGCTCTAGATACAATCCAGAGTAACAACAAAGCTGGCGACGATGCTAAGCGTGAAGGGAGGATCGGCAATGTCCTGCCCTGTCACCTGCTCTCTTATAGCGCCTGCGACACAGTGGAAACGTGGGGGCTCTTTCCAAGAAACCTGCGACCCCTGGCTCCTGGCGCACGGCGCGTGGAGCGCAGGGAGGACACGCCACGCCTCCGACAGCGGAGGCTGGGCCGCTCCGGGTACAAACCAGGAGCCGCGGGCACCCAGGCCTCAGGCCTTAAGTCTTTCTTTTTGGAGCGTCAAACAGCGGCGTCGAGACTGCATCCGCAGTACCGCGTGGGAACTCGCCTCAGCGCCCCGGGCGGCCGCGTCCCTGCTGGGCGGGGATGGGGGGCCGGGGGCCTGGAAACGCGGACGGGCTGCGCGGGGAAACTCCACGCCCGTTTGGAGGCTGGAGAACATGCCCAGAGCAGGGGAATATTAGAGTCAATGTGAAAACATTTTAAAGCGCTGCCTCTTGAGAAGCTGAGCCGAGCCCAGAAACGTGATCCAGTGGGAACAAGGCCAAGCACCTCCTTGCAGAAGAATCCTGGCTTTGGGGGGCTCGCGCTTGAACCCCCAGAGCGGCTGGCCGCATGTGCTGGGGCGTGGCGGGTGGCGGTATGGCAAGTCCTGCAGAACGGGGGCACAGGACAGTCCAAGGGACCGAGTAAAGCGTGAAAAACCTTGAGAGGGATGCAGAGCACTCATCAAGCGTCTCTGTCTGTCTGCCTGCCTGCCTGTCTCTCTCTCTTCACCGAATCCCCTTTATGCGCTTCATGAAAAGATCCTGCCCGGGGTCGGCCACGGAATTGTCCCGGCGGTGTGGAGAAACCCTGAAGCCTTGGGACGTTCAGGGTCGCCAAGTCTGACCTGGGAATGCAAGTCTTTAAGGAAAAAGAAGCTGTTCGTCTGCGACCGGGGAAAATGCCTGTGTCCAAAGACGGGAGATACGGGTGTCGCGCTGTGCAGATGCCGAGTCGCGGCCGCTCCCACACGATCCCACGCGGCTGTTCCGGGAGCCCCTTAACCTCTAGCGCCTGGGGGGGTCCCTGCAACGTGATGTCACCAGCAGGCAGCCCCTGTCAGACTCGCCCCCCGCTCCCCAGCGCTGGGCGCTGCCTGCGGGTTCACAGGCCCTGGGCTCGCAAGCCACGCGAGTTTTTGACAGAATATCCTCGGGCCTGCGTGCCCCGGCGGCCCGCGTGTCCGAGCCTCGGCCTGTTACCCTGCTATGCTGACACTGCGCAGGGCCGCTCTGCTGCTCGCTGGCGGAAGCGAGCTGGGTGAGGCCTTGGAGTGGAGGCCGTGCTCGCTGGGGGCAGCCGCGCTCGGCCCAGCCCCTCCGGGGCCCCTCGGCCCCTCGGCCCCAGCCCTGCCTGGTTCCTGGGTTTGCAGCGCAGGGACCTGAAGTTCTGCCGGCGACCCTGTGACCTCCGGTTTCTACCGGTGAGGGAAAGGGCCCTCCTAAAATCATTCGGTCATGCCAGGCCGAGCCAACAGGAGGAGGAATTCAAATGGAACGAAAGTTAAATGCTGCAGTCTCTTTCTTCCTACAGATCTGGGTGGCGGAAACACGATCAAATAGCAATGGGCAGCTCAGAGAGCCGGAAAGGGCTCCGTGCAGGCGCAGAGGCCGCAGAGGGTGGGACCCCCGAGCCCCTGCGGGCACATTTCCGAGGGCCCCGCCTCTGCCCCCGAGCGCAGCCAGATGCTCACAGGCCTCCCTGAGCGCAGACCACGGAACCAAGCCAGCGGAGGACGCGCTACCTCGACCCCAAAGCGAGCGTTCGGTGGTGCTGCTTTGGCTTCCCTCGCTCAGAAGCAGAGCCGGGGGCTCTTCCCTTGGGTGCTGTGCTCTCAGGGACAGGCCTTGCTGTCGTCCGAAGTAACCGCGGCAACTGCGCGTCCCCGCTGGAGCTGGGCACTTGGGAAACCTGAGAACTGGCTGTGCGTTGGCGGCAGCCTTTCGGATCAGCAGCCTTGACCCGTATTTCTCTGGAGACACCTAGTGGAGAAAGTGCCGGCCGGACGTACTTCTGGAGCCAGAGACAACATCCGTCATGCTGTGATTCAAATACAAATAGGGCATCACCTGAAACCCTTTGCAGGCCTTTGCAAGTGCCAAACAACTGCAGATTAGGAACCACGGCGGGCACAAATGCTGTAAAGCTGGTTTAGGTGGACCACAGCAAACGGTGGCCGCTCTCGATAAAAAGCGGAACATCTGCCTTTGGTTTTGGGTGTCTGTGGTTGGAGGATGAACTGCTCTACTTTTTATCGGGTGGTGGTGGTGGTGGTGGTGGTGGTTGTTCTACACGGACATGGACTAGAGGTGAGAGTAGAAAATGGCGCGGCCGAAGCCGAGACGGCTTTCCCTCCTCCGGGGAAGCGACGGGGACCGGCCTCTTCGGCCGTGTGTTTTGGCCACGCGTTCCGTCACACTGGTGCGCGCGGCCGGGTCGATGCCGCCGGCGGTGTGCCTCCCGCCGTTTCTTTTTCAGATCTGAACGCCTTCGTGTGAGGGCCGATCAGCGCTCCGGTCATCGCCCGTCTCCCGCTCGCCGATAACTTCCGATAAACTCTCTCAGATCAGATGTTAAAATGAGGCGGTGGGTAATTGCTGCAATTTGCATAACTTCACAGACATTCATCCCTTCTGGTACTAGAATGTCGACACGCCATCTGGCACATTTGGTCCGTCGACACAGGGGGCGGAATTGCGGTAACTCCATTATCCGTAATCGCTCATTATCGCCCTCCTTGGACCCGGGCACCTCTGAAACAGGAACATTCCG